TTCTTTCTTTCCTTTCTTCCTTCTTTCCTTCCTTCTTTCCTTCTTTCTTTCCTTCTTTCCTTTCTTTCCTTCTTTCTTTCCACAGCACATCCTTCATGCACCTTCTAACGAGTCTCCTTTGACTCGTTAACCAGGCTCTTAGGCTCATCCTGCAAAAACTTTATGCAGGTTTTCTCATGCTGCCCTGAGGCTGCATGTAACAGGTTCCAAAGCAATCATTGCTTAATCTGCCGAGCGATGAGCAGCAATGATTAGTTACCACTCTGGCATCTAGCTGATAATTGTTAAAATCCTTCCTGAAAAGCCCTGAACTGGTTACTGCGTGTCAACACCGTCTGGTGGCACATTGCCACGCCGGATTAGGTGACGAAATCGGCACAAGGGAGCACGTAGCGGGTGTTGCCTTCGGCTCTGACCGTCGCTTCCTGACGAGTGATCCAGGCAGCAAGTGCCCCGTGCCCGTCCCACATCCACTGCACCTTGGTCTGGTGGAGCACGGGAGAGGAAGTCCTTTGGGAGGCAACAGCCTGGTGCTTTCTTGGCACTGGCTGCTCTGGAGCGTTGTCTGGGATTGGCCATGCCCTCATCTTCATCACCCACCTCCTGGGGATGTATTTAGGACTTAGACAAAAGGGAAAACAACAGTTTACAGTAGATCAGCTTCCCTTTAATTACAGCGCTGCCGAAGTGGGTTTGGCACCTGAATTTAAGCACATTCCTCTCCTGGACTGTTAGCAATGATCTGCTCTCCTGTCGCAAGGGCACTGAGGTCTTTCCTGCACGAGCATGAAGGCCTTCTCCTTGGCCTGAGCAAGTCCTCAGAGAGAGCTGATGACCTCAGGGGAGGCAGGACATGACAAGCAGAGGAGAGCGAAGGTGATCGAAGAAGAGGATGAACTTGTCAAGACTTTCCAGAAAAGGGAGTGTCTTCCGAGGTGACGTTGTCATTCTGTGCTGTTGGAGGGCAACGTCACAGAAATTTAGAAAACGAAACGCGGACAGGACTGCAGGGGTCATGGGCTGAATGTGGCTTCCCCCCGTGCTGGAGCTACAGCCCGTCCCTGCAGAAACAGCGAGCCTTCCAGGCACACGGCCACAGCCATCTCAAAGATAAAACCAAGGTCAAGCAGATCCTCAGAATCAAGTTATCTTAGATGTTACGGCAGTGGACAAGGAAATTGTGGGTGGGATGGAAATCCTGATTGAACTGAAAAATGTTGTGTTTTCTTCTTGCCATCAGAAGAAACATCGTATTTCAGCCATGTTTCAGGCAGCTATTAACTTCTTGAGTCATTGTCAGAGAGCCCCAAAGGTACTGACCACCCAAGGGCTTTCTGAAATAACTAAATGTTATGGATTCAAAGGAAGTCAGAAGCTCAAAGCAGGTGTCAATTCCCAAGTAAGTGGCTCTGCTGCCAACACGGTAAATCAAGACCACTGGTGCTACTGGAAGGACATGGGCGAGAGTCGCAGCGAGACACAACAAGCAGCATCTTTAGTTGGCTTTGATGTCTCACCCAGCGCTGAGATACCATTCCCATCTGTCTGCCAGACGGGCCTTCAGCGTGGCTCAGAGGAAGACTCCCCACTCGCTGCTTTTCGAGCATAAATGAGAGGTCTTGAGCTTTCAGATGCCAGCGCCCTAATAAGCAATAGCTTGGAGCCGTTGTCACACGCTGCAGCGAGCAGCCGGGGAGCTGACGGAGCGCCCGTCTCCGACATCAATCCATTCCAGGTTCACTGGGAGGATCTCACCAGGTATCCTCCCTATTCATCATGGACATCTGCTTTAATGAAAAAGGCCTAAATTCCACTTAATTCTGCATAACACTAATATCACAGAGTAACATCCGTGCTCAGTGTGCTATTCATGGTGCTATTACCGCGCTCTGAAGATGGAAAGTACCACACAAATATGGGGGTATTTATTTCCTACTATTACTCTCATGCTATACAATTAGCATTTTAATCTGTGAAATGTGGACAAATTATCACAGCCCAGACATGGACAAACATTAGTTTTGGACAGCGTTTTTCAAGCCTTCTGCATGATGCATGCATAGGACAAGCCTACACAGGATTCAGCAAGGACTTACAGAAACAAGACCTCAGAGGATATTGGTGAACCTTTAATGGGCAACAAAAAAAAAAGCCAGCCCTGCAAAAAAAAAGGAAAATTGAGATGTCTTTGAAATGTATTTCATCAGCTGAGAAATATGTAGGCCATCCTAGTGTCAAACTTAATACATAACAACAAGAACACTTACAGTGAATAATGTTGAAAATGAATATCTTGCTTCCTATCTTTAAAGCTCTGTTATCATTGGGCATTTGTTTGTACAACGCCTGCAGAAGAGGGATTACCAACATTATTATTTCCACGCTACAAAGCGTGAAATGGAGGCGCGGGGAGCCGGAGCGAGTTGCCTGCAGTGATTTGCAAGGCTGGGATCAGAGGTCTGGAGATTCCGGTTTCATCAGAGAACTGCAGATCAGGCTCTGCACAGCAACTACCTGGAATGCCGCCACGATGCTCATCCTCTGCTCCCCACCTCTCTTCTTCCTAATGTGGAATACAAGGAGCAAATCTGAGGCTGAATCTCTGCTCCTTTCCCTCTGTTTTTAAGGAAGCTCCTTAGACGGGAACAGCACCTTTGCCCCGGGAAGGCTTCTCAGCTCATTTGTCACTTGAAGTAATAACTGTGGCTGCTCAGGCGTGCACTGCTCTTCGGGAAATGTCCCTGGGGAACGTGGCTGAGCTGCTCCCTTCCTCCCCAGGGCTCCGCGGTGCCTGCAGGGCTCCGGGGTCGGCCGAGGACGGCGGCGCTGGCAGCGTCCGCGGCGGCTGCACCCTGCGCCGGCGGCTCTGCAATCCTGCAAAGCATCCCTGGTTACGCACGGAGAAAACTTCATTAAAGGATGTCCTCATAAAAAAAAAAAAAAAGGAATTCTCTTTTCATGGAATATTGTAACTACAGGTACGTCTCTAAGCATGTTCTGAGCCTGCTGTAAAAGCAAGAGGTGGTTTTCATAAATATTTCAAATTTTGGAAACGAAAGAACCTCATGAAGGACAAATCTAACAAAATCACCGCGGAATGACTGTTCTTATGAAAGCTTTACACAGGCTAATTCAGTAATGACTGCAGAGATCTATAGCAAGGTCTGAAGTTCATAAAGGAAGGAACTAACTAACTCAATGATATTTTCACAATTCTTTGATGAAAAAAAAGACAAGAAGCCCCAGGGCAATGTGGCCTGGCCATGGACATCACACCAACAATGTGCACCAGGGCCCCACGGCACAGGGCTGACCTGCTAATTACGGGTGGACACAGACAGAAACCACCCCATGTCTAAGGCGTTATGGATTTGCAGACTCAGATAAAATCCAAATTAATGAACCAACCCAGATGGCATAAGCAATATTCCTGAAACAGGCTGGACCTGACACATCCCTCATGTGTTGAGTCCAGGTGGCCTGGATGCCAAAGACAACGCCAAGCAACTAACAGGTAAAAGCCAGACAATATTAGCACGGCTGTGTTAATAGTAAAATGAAAGATTTATATGACAAACCTTTTAATTATTTCCCTTCTTCCTCAATTCAGCCTTCCAAGTCTAAAGAGTTGGCTTAATGTCTTTTTTTTTTTTTCATGATCTTTTCTAGTCTTTTTTTTTCTAATTGTCACGCATTTCCCCTAGCTTATATTTGGAGAACTTCCAGGGTGCAAACTGGGTTTGGGCCAAACCTATAATGGATCAATCTGCTCCTGAAGCTCTCCGTGTTCCTCTTTTAGGAGTTTTATGAGACCTCTCATGCCTGTGGCCTCTCTTGGCAGGCAATATTCACGGCTGACTGCAACATCTACTACTCCAGGATCTTATAAAGGGTCTCTCTCCTGAAGAGGGGCTCCTCAATGGCCAGGAGCAAGGAGGAGGAACAACCTCTTTTGCCAGGGCCTGGGTCCCTCGTGCTGGGCACAGCACTGGTGGCGTTGCCCACGCTGGCTGTGTCATTCCGGCGCCGGGCGCTCGCGGGTATCGCCGCTCTCATGTCACCGCTCCTTGGCCGTCACCACAAGTCAGACCTGATGATTCAGGAAGTACCATTTTTGATGTAGCTTGCTAACTCGCTTCTGTTTAAGCAAAGCAGCTTTCTGTTGTGGGATTGCTGGAGACAAACGCCTGGGGGGAAATATTTCCGGCGCAGAGAATAAACCAGGGCTGGCCGGGTCACAGGAAGGAAGAATAAGCCGCCCTGCGCCGTGGTGGCAGCCACCACCAAGGGTATAAATAGGGAGCGTGAGGACAGCGCGTCGCAAGGAGTCCGTGCAGCGAGCTGGGCCGCCGGCGCCGCGCTCGGCTGCCTCCCGCGCTGCCCTCGCCATGAGCTGCAGCATCCGGCAGGTCTTGGCCGCCTGCGCCCAAGGCAGAGGCAGCGGCGGCAGCACCAGGAGGGTCCCCTCTGCCTCCCCCGCGAGACAGGCCGCCTTCGACTTAACCGGCATGGCGGGCGACTTTTCTGGCGGCAGTTTAACGGAGGGATTAACGGGGAAGCAAGCGGGCGCTGGCAGCGGCGTGGCTGGAGGCTTCGGAGCCGCCCCGCAGCCTTGTCCCGCCGTGGGCTTCAGCGCTGCGAGCTCCTGCCCTCGGGGCCTCGGAGGCGGCTTCGGCCGCGCGGGCTGCGCCGAGGGGATCCTCTTGGCTAACAGCGGGAAGGCCACGATGCAGAACCTCAACGACCGCCTGGCCTCCTACCTGGACAAGGTGCGGCTGCTGGAGGGCGAGAACGCCGACCTGGAGGGCAAGATCCGCGAGTGGTACGCGAAAGTGGGGCCCAGCTGCGAGCCGCGGGACTACAGCTGCTTCCATAAGGAAATCGATGACCTTCAAAACCAGGTAAATCAGGCTCTTTCAAGTGATCTTTGGGCTTCCCTTTGATGTGCGCATAGAGATTCAGACTGCAGAGGCAATTCCTAGGTCTGCGGAGGTGCCGGAGATGATGGTCTGAGTGAAATGCGTTGAGGGCAGCTCGGTGGCCTTGCAGAGCCTGCTCAGACAAGCTCACATGGAGACGGCCCCCGCAGGGAAATGCCACCAGTTGGAGCAGATTAATAGCCCCAATACATGACATTGTCATAAAATACCTGGGTTGCGTTATTCCAGATAGGAGCTTCCTTCAGGGCCTCCTGCTGGAGGAAGCTGCATGCCCAGTGCCCTCCCCACGGTCTCTTTTCCAGATCCTATGCGCAGCCATGGAAGCTAACAAAATCATCCTGGACATTGATAACAACCGCATGACTGCGGACGACTTCCGTGTGAAGTGAGTACAGCCGCGCGCTGCCCGTGCCAGGGCAGGAGGTGGGAAACCCTACAGGCCTTGGGGGCAGCAGAGAAGCTGCTTGCACTGTTCAAACGCATGGATATCATTAGCCGTGTTCATCACATACTGTACCCGATGTCAAGGAAGTGCTTGGTCCTTTTTTTCTCCCCAAAGTCAACTTGCAGGCGAAGCAGGTCGCTGTCGAGCCCCAGGCATCCCATCTGGAAAACCTGCTTGGGAACGTGGCTGGGCAGCAGCGAGGGAGCTGGCGCCGCGTGCCCAGGGCGGGCTGACTCCCCTTTGCTGCGTGCGCAGGTACGAGACGGAGTGCGGGCTGCGGCAGAATGTGGACGCCGATATCTGCAACCTCCGCCCGGTGCTGGACCAGCTGGCCAGCTGCAAGACCGATCTGCAGCTGCAGTTTGAGGCCTTGACCGAAGAGATGTGCTGCCTCAAGACGAACCACGAGGAGGTGAGATTGCCCCTGCCCCTCCAGAAAGAAGAGAAGGGCAGAAGGGACGTGCGCTGCACGTGCCCAGCACTGCCCCACGCACGGTCTGGCAGGAAATGAGCTGCCTGAGGAAGCAAGCGACTGGCGACGTGAGCGTGGAGGTCAACGCCTGCCCGGGCCCGGACCTCAGGAAGATCCTGGAGGACTTGAGGTGCCAGTATGAAACACTGATGGAGCGCAACCGCAAAGAGACGGAGCAGTGGTACGCCTGCAAGGTACCAGGCGCGGCCATGGACACGACCTGTCCAAGCACAGCGAGGTGGCAGAAGGGCCCCTGCATGGGGCGTGATTGGCGGGGCCTTGGGGATGGGGACACTCGTCTCAGGTGAACAGCTCTGCTCTCGCCCTTCAGGTAGAGGAGGTGAACCTGGAGGTCATCACCAGCAGCCAGGAGATAGAGTCAAGCAACAAGCAGGTGACGGAGCTGAGGCGCCAGCTGCAGGCCTTGGAAATCAACGTCCAAGCCCAGCTCAACATGGTAGGTGATGCTGCCAGCGCTGGTGTCTAACCCTGGCTCTGCTCGGGAAGTCACATGATGGGGGTCACAGCTGAGACACCAAACGAGCACATTTTAGTGGGATTTCTTGGCTTGAAAGTCCCGAATTCCTGTGGCCGGATGGCTAAGCCTACAGGTGTACCCAAGGTGCCTCCTTCTTGTTTCCATCCTCAGAAGGAAACTCTGGAATCGTCGCTGGCCGAGACGGAATGCCGCTACAACA